TCCCATTCATGGGGCTATTACACAAAGTGCCCTAAGTTAATGACTCAAAAAAAGTAGAGCTGATGCTAATCTCCATGTTATTTTGCATCTCATTTTCAGGTTGCTCCAGGTGCTACTCCTTATACATTAATCCTCCAAGCCCCAGCTTTCCTAAGGAAGGCTAACACAATCTATAAAAACTACTCTCGGAGTTCTATCTAGGTATAACTCGTCCATGATTGTGACTGAGCCAGGGGTCACTACAAAGCACTGATTCAGCAACTTACAGATACAGACTCATTTAACCCCACTGATAAAAGTGGTGAGATTTTCTTTCCCTGCAGGTCATCCTGGATGTCTAAGAAAAATTGATATCAAAAGGTTAGGCAAAATTCACCGAGTAAGGCAGGTTTAGAACTCAGAACTCCTTAATCACTTGTGCTGTCACCCCATTTAACACAGCCCAAGTGAAAGTAAGAGGATATTAGATCACATACTCTAACCCCTTGATTTTACATGCAAAGAAACTGAGGCCCAGAAGTTCACTGACTCACACAAGGATACACAAGTTCTTAGGAGCAGAGGCCTGACTAAAATCTAGGCTTCTTGACCACAAATTCAGAAACAAAGACATCATCTGTATATACTATGAGAATTCTTCCTTGGCAGGTGAAGAGAGCAGCTGATTGCTGGAAGTTTGGTCACACTAAAATGAGACTCAGGTAGATTACAGGAAACAAAGGTATAGAGAAACAGTTTAAATAAGGAGGAAGATACATTAAAAATCGCTTACCTAGAAATACTCATACTTAAATAGGCTTCAGCTCTTACCTTTGCTCCCCTAAACACCTCAACTGTAGGACTAACTCCTAATTAATAAAGATAATGTCTTGATGCTTCTCGAACTTTAGAATCTACCCCACCAAAAATAAACCCATAGCTTGTCTCCAAACTGCTTTAAGCCCCTAACTCCCAAGCAGCATTCAGTCGATGGAAAACATCTGGGGCAAAGTAAATCATCCTTCTTTGAGAAAGACCAGAGTGTATTTTTTCCCCCACTAAGTGTGTTTTGAAGTCATGGTCGGAAAATTAGTGAAAATTGTAAATCTGCTTGCAAATCTGGTCATGTCTAACTCTGAGATTAGGGCAAAGATTCCAATTTAAAAGTAAAACCGTGACAACCCCAGTTAAGCGTGTCCTCAGGCACAGCCAGCGGGGCCTTCACTCACTTCCATGGACTGTGGATTTATTACAGGCACCCGACACGTTCCCCATCAGACACCCCTGGAGTATGTACTTGAGACAGCAGGGTTCAGTCTGCACTTCCTCTGCAGACCAATATATTATTATAAATTGAGCTAAACTGTTTCCTTTTCATAAGTGCTATGAAGTTCAGATTTCAGTTATCAGCAGGCAGAGCTGAGGTCCCTCCATGGGGCTACTTATGCTATTTGTTTTTTAAAAGCAGTGAGAAAAGGTAACATTAGTTCCTAGCCACTTCTGGAAAGGGGAAAGGGAAGAATGCCTTTTGTATGTAAACAGAGCAACTTAACAAGAATTACTTAACTATTGAATTTAGGTAAACAGTTCTGTGCCTGGCATGGTTCACTATGACAAGATGCTTCCCCAAAGTCTAAAGGTAAGAGTTGAAAAATCTAGGACAAGGGCTCATGTTAGGAATTTCATCTCTTTTTGTACAGGACAACAACAGGCCTGTTTACAATCTGGAAGAATGGTAGAAACCTAATAGCTATTATAAGTATATTACTGTAAGCATGGTGCAGTGGAAACAATACTAGCTCTGGAGCCAGAAGACCTGAGTTCAAATTTTGCTTTCAACATTTACTATCTTTCTGACGGTGGGCATGTCAAACTTCAGCTCTAGCGCTTGGTTTCTTCTTCTTCTGTAAAAATAAAGGAGCTGGATCCCAAGGCCCCTGGGATCCTTTCCAAGTCTACATCTATTGATCTTCTTGCCTTAAGAAGTTGCAGCACAGTAGACTGAAAGAGAGAGCACTAGACTGAGAATCAGGAGACACGGGTTCAGATCCTGTTTCAGACAGTGTGTGACCAACCAGGCAGCATGTTAAAGACTTCGAGTTTCATCTATAAAATGGGGACAATGTTGAATTACCTACTAAGACCACTGTTATAAGCAAAGTGCTTTGTAAACATTCAAGTGCCATATAGAAAGGTGAGATGTTTTCCGTGGCCATACCCTGGCCAGGTTGCTACGATATCTGGAACTAGAACAAGCCTAATACCCAAGGACAATCTTTGGAAAGAAACTATTATTTCCTCTCCTCAAACAGAGGGCAAGAGCCTCTTTTTCCTCAAGGATAATAACCCCCAATGGAGAGTGGAGAGGAGTGGAGACCTTCTAGCAAAAAAAAAAAATCTCCTAAACATGGTAACCATCTGTCCTTCATTTTGAAGAGGACCAATGACATCGTGGGTGACGTCTTGACTTGTGTACGTGAACTGGATGCAAGTGAAGCAGAGCTGCACAAAGTCATCAGTCTCATTCTACCTTGCAGAGTCGTCAAAGTCCAGTGGCAGGACAAAAGGCAGGGCCACCGCCACCGGCGCAGGATGCAGACGATGACCTCGGCGTCTTCGACGGCTGACTGAGTTCTAAGAGCTCCACGGTGCCATTGGAACAAACTGTTCTCAACCACCTCTTCTCCGAGGGGAAGTCTTCACTGCTTCCGGGTGTTCCCAATGGGAGTCCTCAGTAGCTGTTCCTCTGGAGTCCTTCTCCCTATAACTCTTCCTTTCTCTAATAGCAACTAAGTCTCGGCATCTAAAAAGCTCAGGGTTACTGTCTCTGCACCAAGGCTAGAAAGCAAGCCTGGGCAGGCAGTCCCTCTGCTGAGGCCTCTAAGGGGGGCTGCCGTGCTGGGCAGCTCTAAGAGCACTTCGGAAAAGTTCCTTCCAATGTCTATAATAGCACTTAGTGTCATTCTCCTAGCTATACCCTGATTGCCTTCTGCTCTGCTCTGAGGATAGACATACAGGTCCACTGACTCTCCCTTGGATCCAGATGCTTGATCACATTCTCCAAAGATGACAGCCCAGTATTTCACGCAGTAAAACCCATAACACCTTCCTGTCAGTGTCTGAACTCAGCTATCTGTGAACACTTGGCAACAGCCCCACATTCCTTTTCCTAACCAGTAGGCCACAGGAGCACATACACAAATCAAGTCCCAGGAAGTTTTTCTTTCCATCAAACCTAAATTTGCCACTTTTAATCTTCCATCCTCATTCTGCCCTCTGGGCCAAACTGAAAAAATCTAATCCCTCTTCCAGGTGATAGCTTTTCAAACGTGAGAAGGGAACTATCACACCCCCCTAGTCAGTTCCTCTAGCTAATCCTCTTGTGGAATGAACCCTCTGTCATCCTGGTTACCCTCCTCTGAACATTATCCAGCTTATCAATGATTTTCCTAAAATGTGGCTCATAGAACTCAATATGGTACTCGAGGTATGGTCAGACAAGACCAGGGTATAAGAAGACCACTGGTTCCTTGTTCATGGACTCTAAGCTTCTGTCAATGCAGCTAAAAATCCTATTACCTTTCTTAGCTGCCATATCATGCTTTGAGCTTGCAGTCCACTAAAACCCCCAGGTCCTTTTCAGAAAAAGTACTGTCTAGCCTCATCTCTCCCAGTTATAATTCCTTCTGGCACAATAACATTCCACTACATTCATATGCTACAATTTGATCAGTCCTTCCCTTACAAGCACGTAATCTGTTTCCAGGTATTTGCTATGATAAAAGTGCTGTTTCCTAACTTCAAAGCAAATACATGAGCAGATTCCCTAGGAAGCCAGGGGCTAGAAAGTCCCCAAAGAAATGGAGACAATGAAAAAATTATGCACAGAGAACCTTTGTGGTCAAAGAAAAATATTATCAGCCTATTCATACACAAGGCCTTAGAATGGAAAAAAGGCATTATGAACACACACACACACACACACACACACACGGGAGCAAAGCCCTATGAACTTTTAGGCTTCTGTTAGACAAACTCCTTATGAAACATTTTTTCATTAAGAATTAAAAACCAAAGGAAAGACCTGTGCTGTCAGGACAGCTGCTTCCTCAGGCCATAAGAAGGAAACTAAAGTCAAATCCAGGAACAAACTTTTCATAACTAGAAACCTGCCTAGGCAGGGAAATACTCCAAAAGTTTCAGAGCAGGTTAGCCTGCATCTGATAGAAATCAGCATTTAGTAATTCTAATGATGTATCCCAAAGTACAGAGCACATTGGGGGATTTCAGTAAAATAGGATTACAGCTTTTCTCAATTTTACTCCCGAAAAGAGATTGGGGGAGGAGGAAGAGGTCCATAAAAGAGTGAAGGGGGGAGGGAGAGCAGGGGAAGAAAGATCCACAAAAGAGTGCCAGCATGTCAAAGGGTTTAAACTGTTTAAACTGTTCTGATCTATCAGCTCCATTAAACCTAGATGACATCTGAGCTCCTCTTTTAAAGAAGAGTATTGGATTTGGGGACATAGGTTCAATTCATGGCTCTGCCATGATACCATAGACAGCTTGTTTATTAACCTTGCTGAGCCTCACTTGCATCAGTAAAATTGAGATAATAATGTTTGTACTATATATCCCACAGAGGTGTTAAAAGGAGAGTGACTTATAAACATAACACTATAAAAATGTGAGTTGTAATAGCTGACATTTATATAGCATTTTGAGATTTATAAAGCTCTTTGTATGCATCATATTACTGGATCTTCACAATAACCCTATGAAGTAGGTGCAATTATTGTACCCATTTTCCAGATGAGAAAACTGAAATCCAAAGAGGTTAAGTAACTTCCTCAGGATCACACAAATACTGAACCCAGGTCTCTCCTGATTTCATATCCAACATTCTATCCACTATACGATGTTTCCATCCCTCATAAAATAAAGTACATGGACAAAAATAAACAACCAACAAATGTTGGGAAGGTGTTGGGAAATCAATGTCTTTTCACTCTTTTCAGGATTACCTAGCATAAGATAGCAGTCTCCTTGATGGAGTGGTATTGCCAAACCAGGTGTCTCTATGTCCCAGGCTATCTTCAGACCAACATGCCAGAGAGCAGGGTTTCTCCCTTCTGGACTCCGCTCATCACAATCAATCACTTCAGGGCCTGTTGGAAGAAGAAGAAAGTGAAAGAGAGGTCAGATACATGCCATATGGTCAGGATATCAGGGAGGGTTAGAGTCATCAGAAAAAAAGCACCATGTAGTATGTGGTAACTTGAACTAAGCCTTATAGAAAGAAAAGGATTGGGAAAGCCATTATAAAGGAGGAAGAGAAGCTAATGAGAGGAGAAACAATGTGAGTAAGGACACAGAAATACAAAATCTTGCTTCCCAGCCCATGACAAATAAAGGATGCTTAACTTGTGTTGGGTATCACAACTCCTATATAAACAGGACAGATATCCCAGCCTCTACTTAAATCCACTTAAAATGATTCCTCATTTATGGCACAGAAGAGACCTCAAGTTCTTGAAGGTTATGCCTGGAGTGCACGAAAGCTAGTGGATCCTACCATTCTGGAAAGGCTTTAAGTCAAAACCCAGAAAAACATTTCTGGTATTTTGGGACCAGCCTGGCAAAGTCAGAAGTTCTCCAGAAAGTCTGTACAAGGTGATGAATTATTTCACATACACTAATGTATGAATACTGCCTACTAAAGCAATATGTATTAGTGATGGGGGAACCCACAAGACCAAAAATCATCAATCCTTGAAAAAATGATGTCTATATACATCTTTCTTTGTTGGATCTGTGACCTCATCAATGTGGCTGTCCCCTTCAACAGTTGCAATCCATCCACGCTTTCTTATCTTGGGTAGTTTCTGTTCATAAATCCTCCACAGGTCAGTCATCTAATGTGCTAGGGAGTCCTTCCTCTAGGTCTTCTGCTATCATGTGGCTATCAAGGGAGAATGAAGAACTATGAATCACTGATACCTTACTCTTCCTATATAACCAGCCCACCTCCTTTTTTCAGGCATACATGTTTGAGTATTTCAGCCTAGATACCACTACTTCCATATACACACTAAGTTATGAACATCCTACTATGTGATCATTGGATACAAAGGTCAGAATAAGCTATGGAAAAGGAAAAATAAATGTTCTACTTTTTAACAAAACTCTTATTCAAGAAAAGCAGTTCTAACCTTGATATTTTAAATACATAAAAAAAAAGAATCACTGAAGAAAATACTGAAACAGGTAAGGGGAAAATATCATGAACTATCCAGGAATGCATGCATTTTTATAAATACTGTAACTAGAATTATTTACAAAGTCTCATAATAAAAAACTTAGATTTTATTTTTTCCAGGTCACTCCCATGTACATTTTTACGAGGCTCTCTTGGGGCAATCAGTGAACAGTTTCATTCCCTAATATTTGCATGCACAACAAGGGAAATCAACATCTAAAAATTTGTTGACTTTAAACCACTTAAATATTTGTCATTTGATATAGATGGTCCCCAAGCATATTTTAACTGGGCATGGAGGTGATGCAGTGGACAGAATACAGGACTTGGATTCAAGAAGACTTGAATTCGAATCCTGCCTCAGACACACAACTGTCGTTTAACTCTGTGACTCAGTTTCCTCATCTGTAAAATGGGGATGCTAATAATAGCACCTATCTTCCAGAGTTGTGTGGATTGAATGAGTTAACACGTACAGAATTTTGCAAACTTTACAATGCTATTTAAATGCTTATTATCAATATTATCTGAGGGAAACTGCAATGAGAAAGTAAGTACTTTGTCATGTTACTTTACCTGGGGCTTAGAATTGGAAAAAAAGACAATCATGTATATGTCTGTCTCTGTGTCTGTTCCTAAAACCACAGGAGTTAGGCTCAGTGCGCTGCTGCAGTCTATTTCATCACAGAGGGTACAAATGAGGAAATAAGGGCTAACAAATACTGTGAGAAAAATCAATGCAAACATCTTAGAGGGGCTGTTCATATTTCTCTCCTTAGTCAGATAAATTGTAACTTAATTTGAGAAAAGAAAACTGAAAATACGATAGTTTTCAAGGCATTTTTAATGCCACAGATCATGGATATTATAAAAGGAGGTAACCTCCGTGGGATAACTCTGCAGAGGAGGTTACATTCCCTCTATCACTCTGGCAGCAGCATTGTTCTCAATATGGCACCAATAAAATCTACAACTACAATCAGAGACAGCAATTTCAATCAAAGTTTCCTGGAGTCTCCTCATAAATCCAGCACCTTTGGAATGTGCTTGTTAAAATAATTTTTTGTTAGTGTGTGTCTGTCATTTGTTTTCTCAGGGGAGAGGAGGACTGTTATAGTTTGATATATTTTTTATTGCTTAAGTACAACATAGCACCCAGTCTCACTTTCTAAGTGAGAGCAGCTTATAATTATCCCTAGCAACTGCAACCAATTATTCCTGCTCCCTTGTTATTTTGGAAACAAACAGGCAAGCTGATAGGACTTGCCTTTAAGTCTTAATTATATTAAGTGAATTTAAAAAAAAAATTATCCAGTGAATTTGATTATTATCTGAATTATCTGAATGTACTCAATGATCTCATTAGAGGGACAAAACTGGCTAAATGCTAAAGCTTACTAAAATATAAACCTAAATGTTAGATTATGAATTCAAGTGACTATGCAGGCTCTGAGGTCCTGAAAAGGATTTAATACTTCAACCCCTTTTACAAGAAAAATACTCCAGTTCAAAAGATAAAAATACCATCTTCAAACATTCCTTCTAATCATGCTGGAGGTATACAACCCTACTATATTAACCACATGCTGTGAAGATGCTGAATGCATTTACAGAGTTTAATGTTGTAATCAAATAAAATCTATGACAAAGTTAATCTGACATATACTTAGTGACAGACACAATCTCCATGAAGCTGTACGGTAGTAAGAAGTTCATATTAATTAGTAAGCAGTGTGGTATGATGAGCTGGCCTCAGCCAGAGTTGAAGTCCACCTCTGACATATTGATTATGTAACCCTGGACCACTTAACCTCTCAAACATCCCAGGCATTTCTTTCCTCATTGCAAATTCACCACAAAATCACAAACCCAGTTGTTGTTGTTGTGATTGTTAAAGTATTAATTATTTAGAACCAAATATATTTTTCAGTTGGTTTGGTTTTTTTTTTTTTACTTTTCATCTTGTTAGTTCTCTATTATCTTTAACCACATGAAGGTGGATAGTTTTTTCCTAATGCAATACACTATTTAAACATCACCATTATTTAACCATAACCATCACCACACATACCTTAAGAAACAACAGCTAAGGTTCTTCTGCAATTTTACCCTCAATTCAGGATCAGGTCATTGTGATGTTATCCTTAAGGAACCTGCACTTCCTGATCAATGCAGATCTTACAAATAAATACTTGCAACTGTCACATGTCTCCATAGGTTGAAAGTATTTAGTACTAATGAACACCTAGAAAGGCATGATCAGATGGCCAGAATCATGTACACAAAATTCACTACCTTTTATAAACTAATAGATGACAAATCCTCATCATATAATACATACCTCAAAATATCCTTAAGAATTAAACAAATAAGTCATATTAGAACTACAGTATTATCACAAATAAAATTGTTGCTTACATTTGCACTGATACAACATGAATCCCTAAAAATTTAAGTATAACATTTTAAACAGATGTTGTCAGACTGAATATTCATAATCTCTAAACTACATGGAATGAAAAGTTTTCAAAATATAGAGATGTAGTTGATGAAATAAAATCTACACGAGAAGATGATGAAGTCCTATTATCCCTCACATCCAGGCTGCTACTAGACTTATTCCAATAATGCTTTTAGAGAGTCTACAGAAAATCAGTTTTTATACTAATTTTTTTAATTATAAAAGGCAATTATGCTATTTACCTTGCAAAAGTCCCTTGAACATTAAGTATAAAATAATAATAGCAGGATATGAGGATAACTACTTCTCCTAGGACATTTTTAATATGAACTTCAAAAAATCTAACAAGATAATAATGATAATACTAAAAGTTCATATTTGTATAGTGCTTTATGGTTTACAAAGCACTTCATATAAATTAGCTCATTTGTCCTTTATAATGGATCTCTGGACAGTTATTGTTATCATCACTTTACAGATGAAGGCCACACAAGTTGGGAATGTGATACTAGTAGAAGTGCCAGCAACAGCATCTACTTTATTTGGTCACGTAAGAAACAGACAAGTCACCAGTGCAGATTGCAGAGTATTATTCCTTGTGAAATACCCAGAAATGAAGATTCTGGAGAAATGGAACTTGCACAAAATCAACTCATCATCTCCCACCAAAGCAAGTATCCATTCTAAAAGGTCTTAAAACAAGTCATTTGAAACAAATTAAATCCCTTGACTCAGGTAGAGTAGAATTAAATCTAAGTTTTCTGAGAGTTCTTGAAGAATACTGCAAACTTCTTACAGACAAATCTACAGCCCTCCAATACAAGGTTTGGCTCTGTTAAGCTTTCAGATTAAGCATTTGAAGCCCCATCAATGGCTACAATGGTAAATGAAAAGGTTTTTGTTTTTCTGTTCTTGTTTTTTTTTTTAAGACAAATGTTCACATACGTGATAATGCTTTAGTACATCATTTTTCAAGGGTAAGAAAAAAAATTATTATAAAATGAGAAATAGAAAGAAAAGCTGCTTTTCTATCTCTTCAAACCAGAACATTATATGAAGGAAAAGGTGAAATAAGGAAAGGATACGCAGAGGTTTCTGAAACCACGCATACTTCAAATCAAGAGGTTTATAAAACCAATGGTTGATATCCTCTAAGAGTCTAGGTGATCACAGGAAAGTACTTAGAAGAGCTCATGAAGGAAAAAGCTGAAGAATTCTGAATTGTTCAATGGCAGTGGGTGAAGTATGGCCCATTAACAGAAATTGCCACAAGAGGCTGACACTGATTCCCCAAGTTACAAGTAAGTGCCTGTAACCAACCCAGCCCCAATCACTGTCAAATTACACTATTTCTTTCGTATCTATTTAGTATGAGGCACCCTCGTGACAGCGGGACATCTTCTACATCAGGAAGAATTAGATTCAAGCCCTGCCTCTGACCCTACAAA